CCAGGGCAGACAGCTCCTCTGTCAGAGCTTTATGAAATCCAACTGCAGCAAACTTGCTTGAGCTGCAGGAGGGGAAAAAGTATAAATGAGAAGGCAGAAATCCTATTTCCACACTTCTACAGCTGCAAATGGTCTAAACAATCATATACATACAGTAAAGGCTAGGATGCAAAAACCTCCAAATAAAATGTAATCCAGCTGAGAGACAGGGCAGGGACTATTCTAACTTCGCCTGTGCCAGAGTGTAGTGGTGGATAAGATGTTGAAACTTGTGGAGTAGTTGTGGAAAGCAGACAGGGTGTGAACAGGCAGAAAAAACACAGAGGAAAACATTAGGAAATCTTAGAAAATACTAACTAGTGTGTGTCAAGAGATGCACATCCAATTTTTCCCATGAGAGAAGATTTTTGAAAGGAATGCAGCCTGAATGACTGAAATTAAGAAGGATGGGCAGGGTAGAAATGGAGATTAACCTTCAACTATTTACTGAACCACACAGGAGCATCTCAAATCAATTTTGTGTGCTTTGAAATAAAGGACCATTACACAAGCAAAACTTAAGGAATGTCCTCCCATAGAAACAGGTGTGGGCCTTAAGTTTAAATGAATTCCAAAGAAAATAGTCACATGACTGTTCTTTCATACAAACATTGCTCAGGGTTCAGTCAGAGCTAGTAACTTGGTACTTTCTGAACGAGAAGACAAAATTACAATTTTTAAAAATTAAGCAAGCTGATTTCAAAATCACTTACCAATAAGTCACCATGAAAGGAGTCACAAAATGACCTGCTGCCGAAGCCACCGTGACAATGTGCCCGTAGTTGTTGTTCATCATGACTGGCAGAAAAGCTCTCGTGGTCTTGGAAGTCATTTAAACCAAGAGGCAAAAACACAGGGGATGGGAAGGAGGACAAGAACATTGTTTTCTTAGGCATACTCAGCACTGACCCTCAGTGTCATTCACTAGGTGGCCAAAGCTATCTCTAAAGCTACGAGTCACACAGCACCTGAGATTCCCAGAGCCACAGGGATACCTGCTTTCTGACCAGTGGTGCAGCTGGCAACCTGCTCTCCAAAGGTTTCAGCAGCTGTCTATAAACAGGAGCTGGTTTTCACATCTTTCCTTTGCTGCTTTTAAGGTTTCAGGTGTCAGCAGAAATGCTGCCAGGGTCTTACCCCTAGCACCTACAATAAACCACTTGTCAGGCTGTGGCTTCTCTTTTCTTCTGCCACAAACAAGTATTGCTGAAAGCTCACACCCTGTCAGCCCCACGACACCTCTGACAGAGGCCAGTGTGTGCTGCAGATGAGGCTGTCACCAGCCAGCTCACATCAGCAGGAGGCCATTCCAGTTTCCCAGCACACAGTCTGCTTGGGTGCCCCTGGGCTATACAGTTCATTTGGTAATTCACTGCTAATAACAGCTGGTCTAAGTATGTCTAAATATTCCTCCTTGGGACTATGACATTCCCAAAAATCTGTAGCTATAGGTGCTGGTGGCCCTTACCCACATGTGACCAAGAATGTTGACTTCAAACATCCTTTCTATCTGGTGGTCCTGAGTCGAGAGAAAGTCGGCAGCTGTAATAACACCAGCGTTGTTCACCAGGATAGTCACATCCCCAATATCCTTCTTCACCTTTTGGAGGGAAAACAAAAGCTCAAAATTGTGTCTGTCACTTGGGGCGGGGGGGAAATTTGCAAAGGTAGGGAAGATGAGCCATAATTAATTTAATTCTTAACAATGCATCTTTAAGGGAGAGGAAAATCAGGCCACATTTCCAGACGTGGCAGGACATGAACTTTGCAGTAAAGCTATGCAATCTGGTTTAGATCTGATTCTTCTCCTTTAATTAATGCCGGTATTTATTGCGTTCCACAAACTGTGCACACTTTGGACTGTGTAGTCACAGTTGGGACCACGGGGGTACAGACTGTTTTGAGGCAGCTGGACCACAGCCACTACAATGAAATGATTCATATGTCCTCAGTGCTATGTTCCTTCAGAGGCTGGAGCCCTGGAGAGCAAACCTGGCAACAGGATGTGATATGCTGGAGTCTCCCAAATCTTGGAAATGCAACAGCACTCTGTGTCCAGAGAGCAACGAGGAGTGGGGAGCTTCCAAGGGCTTGCAGGATTTGTGTACAACACATCTTCTTTAGTTTTACTGCCTCCTCTGGAAATCAAGCAGGGTTGGGAAAGCCTTTGGCCATGCCCCTGCTGCCCCACCTTGTCTGCAGTGCTGTTGATCTCCTCCCGTTTGCTGCAGTCCACCACGAAGGTTTGAACAGTGGCTCCCAGCTTCTGGCATTCTGCTGCCGTCTCCTCAACGCCGTGCTGGAAGAGGCAAAGAGAAAGACACTGTGCACAGCTGTCCCCTCACCATGGCTGAGCAGCAGAGGCTGAAGATGTCCCTGGATTGAACAACAACTGCCCAGCCCCAGAACAGTTCACAGCTACCCAGGGAAGAAGCTGTAGGTGGGGTTGTTGAGAGCATATGTAATCCAGCTGGAAATTTTGGACCTGTGTAGAGTGACTACCAGAAAGGAAATTGGAAAATCATGAAATGGTTTGGGTTGGAATGGACCTTAATGATTATAAAGATTATACAGTTCCAATCCCCCCTTGCAATGGGCAGGACACTAGATCAAATCCCCAGAGCTCCATTCAATCTGGCCTTGAACATTCCAGGGATGAGGCATCTATAACATCTCATCTGTTCCAGTACCTTACCATCCTCACAGTAACAAATTTCTTCCTTATATCCAATCTAAACCATCTCTCTTCCGGTTTGAAGCAATTTCCCTCTGTCCTGTCACTACATGCTCTTGGAAATCCTCTCTCTCCATCTGTTTGTAAGCTCCCTTCACATACTGGAAGATCACAATTAGGTCACTCCAAAGACATCAGTTTTCCAGGCTGAGCAATCCCAATTCTCTTAGCCTAAGGAATGTGGCAACAAGAGTGAGTTTGGCTTGGTAAGGCACACAAGCAGAAAGAGGGCACACAGTGCCTAACACAGCACAGCAGGCAGTACTGTGAGTATAAAGAGAGCTCATGCAACACAGGCCTGGCTGACACCCTGAGGTGTGGAGAGTGCCTCCAATGTGTTTCTGTATTCACATGCTGGGTGTGAGAAGAGCCATAGTTGTATTGGGTCTGGCTAAGATGGAATTGATTTCCCCATAGCACCCTCACAGTGCTGTACTTTGCACTGGTTGCTAGGAAGGGGTTGATAACCCCTTTTTTGGCTGCTGCTGAGCAGCGCTGGCGCAGCATCAGTGCTGTGTTGCAAACATTTCCCGCCCCATCAGTAGAGCCTGGGAGGGGACACAATTAGGAATGCAGAGCAAAATTGACTGAAGGGATATTCCATATTATATGATGACAGCTCAGATACAAAAGCCAAGAAAAGGAGGAAGAAGAGGAGGGGCATCCGGTATTTCCAATGTTTGCCTTCCAGAGCAAGCACTTCCCAACATGTGGGCGGTAATCTCTTGCTGATGGGAAGTAGAGAATATTTTTTTCCTCTGCTTCTCTGAGCACAACTTTTCAGCTTTGCTTTAGCAAACTGCTTTATCTCAATGTACAAGTAATTGTTTCCCATGTTATTTCCTCTGCCCAGTGCAGCTGAGAAAAGGGGGTGATAGAGCAGTTTGGTGGGCACCTGTCGTACGGCCAACATCAACCCACCACAACAGTGCACAGTGCAAAGAGACTTTCCTTACAGAATTGCACTTGAAACACACACAGAACAGAAGCCTTCCTCTGTCATTGCATCAGCTCACTCGACTAGGGCAGGAGTGATTTTGCTGTTCTCTTGTCCCCAGGTGCCAGAAGGCTGTGCCAGTGGAGCCCTGGGCTGGGGTCTGTTTTGCAGCTTCAGGATGACACAATTAACTTCTTTGCTGACCCAGCGTGTCAGAAACAGGAAGCACAGCCTTTCACCCTCCTTGTTGCACCTACACCCAAAACTTGCCCCGGATCCCTTCTGAACGCCATGCCGCATCTCTGTATCTGCCCATCCTCCACTTGCCACGGCTTGTTTTGCATTCCAGTCAAATCATCTGAAATAAAGAGTTTGGGCCAGTGTAAACATTTCGAGAGGTGCCATCTGTGCGTGTAGCTGCCCAGAGGGCAGCCGGGCTCACCCACAGCCCGGCACAGCGATGCTGCTAACGGGAGTGCAAAGAAAACACATCTCCCAGCAATGCACACAAAACACCCGAGGCTACAGAGAGAACAAGTGAAGGCAAACCTGCTCTTCCCTGCCTTCTGGTCTCAACGAGCTTTCTCTGCCAGCTCAGGCAGCACATCCACCAGCAGCTTCCTGAACACTTCTCTCCCTCTCGCAGGTGCTCTGCCGGCTGCTGCCTCCTCCCTCCCGAGTAGCACCGAGTGCCTGTGGGACCAGAGCCCCACATCCTCTGCTGCAAGTGGGGCCAAACCCGCTCCTGGCGCTCAGCATCCCAGCCAGAGGAGCCAAGCGGGAGCCGATGGGAGCGAGCTGGAAGGAGGCGACGGGGGTGCAATGTGGTGCTGCCCTTCTTACGTCCCTAAATCCCCCGTGGATTCGGAGGTTCCGGAGTGAGGACACGAGTGTGCCGTTACCTTATTGGTGTCCCACAGAACAAGCCTGCTCTGGCGCTTGGCGAACTCCAAGGCGGTCGCTCTCCCGACGCCATGGCCAGCGCCCGTGATGAGCACCAGCTCCCCACTGAGAGACTTTCTCCTCACCGGCACGAACAGCTTCACAAAAGCCTCCAGGTAGGAGTAGAGGAGCGTAGCCAGGAACAGGAGAACCTCCAGAATCAGATTCATTGTTTCCCCGGAACTCTTTTGAGGGCCGAACTGAACTTTAATCTCTTTTAAGGGGTTGTTGCTTTATCCTCTGCCCGTCGCAGTGCGCACTGCCGGTCCCGTCCGCTCCCGCAGGATCCACCCCCGCACCGCCCGTACCGGCGGCTGCTCCGCCCAGCTGACCCACGCTGACCTCCCGGTGTCCCTGTGCTGCTGCTCCCGTGCTGGAGCTGAGGAGCGGTGCGGAGGAGCTGCACACCGCACTCCAACCTGTCCCCGCAGAACCATATTCGCCCTGCAGCTGACAGGACGTGCCGGGCGTGGGTAAAGAAATGCGGTTTTCAGGGAGTTTTCTGCCCTCTTGGCTGAGGAAGACACGGACTATAAAGGTGTGCAAACCCCTCTGTGTTCTACCCTTGGGTTTAATCTTTCAGTCACCCCGACTGATCATTCTCTGCTTTGTTTTTTCCCACACAGGTGGCAGTGCCTTCTTGTCCCTCTCTCAAGACCTTATATTAAGGAAGCAGCAAAACACGTTCTTGTTTGTTACTTGCTGCAGGTGGAAAAGGGACAGAAAACGGATGGAAATGGCAATAAAAGTGCTCATCCAGTTTCTGACAAAAGCATCTTGAAGTTCCATTCAACTCTGTATTGTAATTATTTTCATTTTTTGTGTTTTGTGCCTGTCTAGCTGCTCAGTGCTATGAGGTCCTTGAGCAGTTTTCTTCATGGTCCTTTCTCATTGCGTCTTTGTGCATTGTCAGCAGCCTTTGTTCCCCACCATCCCTTTCCAGGTACCTTAAGAAAAGCTGAATGACATAAGTCCTTTTAACTCCTGGAACTCCACAGGTGAGCCCTTGCCTAGCTGTTTGTCTTACTATGTCTTTTATTTAGTTATCCATACTCAGACCTTCGATCTTATGCTGCAGCTGCTTAGTTTCCATAAGTCCTTTGAAAAAAGGCATTAAATTGCATGAACTTTAATCTAATTTAGTAAAAACACAACTCACAGTTGGAATCACTTCTATGGAATAGAGTATCCAGAACCTTAATCAGAACAGGAATGCTTATAGGAAATAGAAGAAAAGTACTTTCAGGCGCTTCTTCCAGCTCTATCAATGTAACTGCATGGCCTTTCCTGGAAAGTATTGCTGACCTTTGTTTTTCAGTTAGGAAACCTCATGTATCACAGTCATGTTCATTATTTTATTTAAGGATATTTTTGAGCTGCTTGGTGAACATTTAACAACTGACCAAAATTGCATTCAGTCAAGATTACAGTTTCTGAAAAGTATTATTTTTGTCCTGGTGCGGCGAAACCGCTGCAGCTCACCTTGTAGTGAGAGACTGGATCCATTCCAGCACAGAGACTCGGAGCTAGACACTTCCTACTCTTCTCTTGGAACTTGGTTCTCTGCCTAATTAACACATCAGTGTTTGAGCCAGACCCCAATTGCACGAGTCAGCGGTGCTGTCATTTTCCTGGCACAGGGCTCCAGTCAGTGCTGGGGCCAAGGAAGAGGAGGCAGGGAGGGCATGGAAGCACCAGCTCCAAGAGACACCTCAGCAGGAGGCAGAGCACAGGGCCAGAGTCACTAACCTGACTCATAAGGAGTGCTTAGGCCAGGGTGTGAGGTACCACTCTTCAAATTTGGGACTTAGCTGTAGGTGGCTGCATGAAACCTGCTCACATGGACTCCTGCTGGGCACCCATGTGTGACCAGAGTTTGGGCTAAGATCCAATTGAGTGTTGTGGCCAGAAAGAGAACTGAGAAGCCTGGGAGGCTTGGTGACTCAGTTCTGTCACTGGTGTTCAGGAGATGAAAGCTGAAAGTCCCTGCTTTTGCATGTTTCTTTATGCCAACAGGAGATGTGCAGCCTTAGATGACACAGAACAGAACCACAGCCACACACAGAGTACTGCATGAGTTGCCTTGCCCAGTAATTCCTCTGGGCTCTGAGACACTGGACTAGATCTGTCAAAGCAAGAGTCAATATAGTCTCCCCTTCCTTAGGAGCAAGTGTGCTAAAAAACAGACTCTGCTGAAGAGTGCTGTCATCCCTTGGATGGATTTTGGACTTCCAATTTAATCCTGCCATCAGAATCTGAATGATACACAGGACTAGTGGGGATGGTGTACCACAAGAAGGCAAGGATCTTGTCTGATGTGTCCTACTGAAAGCAGTCCTTCACCAGCCTAAGAAAAGGGCCAAGTCATCCAAGACTTTTCTCCAGGGTCTTTTTAAGCTTTTTTCTGTGGAGTCACTGGACTTTCCTTTGAGCAAGGATTCAAGTCATGGAATAGAAGAAATGTGGGAAGTGGGTACCAGGAGAGGCTAAGCTCAGTGGGAAGTTAAGCATGCTTGCCAGACATACAAAAGACAACTGTCAAGTTGTTACAAATCAGTAAAGCTTTGATTTAGCCCTTATGTTCCTGTGAATGCTAAGTACAAACATTTTGGCTGGTGTGCTTCTTGCTCTGACAGGTCTTTTGAATTTTTGAAACATCTGAATTTTTAGACTTTTTTACTCCTCACTAGGTAAGAATAGGTGGAAGTGAACATAATCAAAAAGTCACGCAGATGTGGCTTCAAGCGTCTCATGTGTGACAGGAGTGTCATAGTAGCAAGAGGGCAATATGCAGCTCAAAAAGAAGCAAGGATGCAATCCTCCACATTTTGGCTTGGAAACCATGCCTAAGTATTCTTTGATTGGCTTATAACCTTTTTTCTATGTCCTGAGTTTTGTGAACCCTTTTCCTTTCCTGTCTCAGCTGCAGGAATCTTGCACTGTGAAGCACAAGAGCTGAAACTGCGAAGTGTCCTGTTACATGAATGTTCCATGGGCAAAATGGAAAACAGTTGTCTGTTACTTAAGCTGTCAACATTGCTTCTACTTGTTACCAGCTAAGAGCAGGAGGGTGAATGCTCTCACTTTTCTGAAGAACCTGTTTACAGAACAACTTGAAAGGCTCAGGTGAACAGGACAGATTCCAACTGTGCTGAAGGTGGCAGCGCATTCAGGCCTGCCTGGGATGGCTGCGGGCCAGCAGTGCCTGCTGTGGGTGGGAGTTGCACAAGTGGGTGCACAGATCCTCTGTGCTCTGGAGGGGTCTTTGACCCATGTGTCAGCAGCTGCTGCTGCTCTCTTAGACCCCGGGCCAAACACCTTCAGGGGTTTCACCTCCTGTGCCATCAGAGCAGGCCCCTGGCTTGTGTTGAGGAGCTGTGTGAAGGCTAAACTGGAGCCTTCCTATGCACCCCCAGCCCTGGCACTGCCTTTAAGCCTTGGCCCGTGCATGGGCTGCATTGCCTGGCCCTGTACCTCACTGATCCTGACGTGGCTTCCCTGTGTGCTAGGGGACTGGCTCATCCCTGCAGCATAGGCTGATGTTTGGCAGACTCTGATCCTTTCAACATTGGGGCACATGCTCCACTGTCTTTGCCTGGACCTGGTTGCCACTTTCATTGCTGAGAGACACCTTTGGGTTAGAATAATGTATTTATTTGTAATATGGAGTGTTGATGGTGCTAATGCATAATTGATAAATGTTGTAATTAGGCACTACATTAAAAACAAGACCATTATTTCAATAATACAAATAATTAATTCAATAATTCTCATTACAAATACACACAAAACTGTAAGTGCTCATTAGAGCACAGTTTTCAAACTTAAAATTAATAAGTGAGATGAAACAGGCCACCCACCTCCTCTATAAATTGCTTCTTGCAAGATGCTTTTGCTCAGGGATGAGTGCAGATTAACATGCTCTCAGGCAATCCCTTTGCACTCAACTAGGCAGCTGTGCTGTCCCAAACACAGGCTTTGTGGAAATTCCTGTCTGCCTCAGCACAACGAGACAGAAGTGATGGGATGTACAGTCAAAGCAGCCCTTCTAGAGCTGCATCTCTGCTTTGCTAACACTCCCTGTTAAGCTGGTGTATTCCAGCTGCAGGTGTGGGATAAGCCCTTAGGTGGGAACAGTGGCCTGGAAGCACTTGCCTGAGCTCTGATCTGAATCAAGCCAGCTGAACTATGCTCAGCACATGTTCTGTTTTCACTGGTGTCTCTGGAAAATGAGAATCACTTCTTGCTTTTCACTGCGTGCTTCTCTGCCCAATGACTGCATCAAACTTTGGAATGGTCATCTTCTTCAGGAGGTTCAGAGCGCGTTCTGGAAAGACCCTGAGAGAGACAATACCATGAAATTAAAAGTGGGATAGAAACTTAAATTATGGGAAAAAGTGGCACTGCAGGTGAGGGAAGAGCTGGCCTGGGAGCAGCATGCACACACACATATGAACTGAGAGTAAGTATTAAATTGGGCATTATTTCCATAGCTCTCATCAATCTCTGACTAATTAAAGTCCAGTCCCGGCTTTTTATGACAGTTCCAAAGTCAGGTATCTATGGGCAGTATGTGAACTGCAATATTGCTGCAGGATGCAAGAAGGTTCAATATTGTACAGAGGTAGGTGTGTATTACATTTCATGCTCTGAAAAGCAGTGGGCCTGTGGAAGGATGAGACGTTAAAACTGAGGTGCAGTTCCCACTCCTAAGATTGCTTCTCTTAAAGAGCTTTGTCTCTTCATCCCCCTGTCCTAAATGGTGACAAAAAAAGCAAAGTGCTTTGACAGCATCAGTTTTGACTTGCCTATGCTTTTATAGACTTGCACTCTCAACAAGCAGCTCTTGGAGTTGCAAAAAGATTTAAAACACTTTTCCCACAGTCTGGTGTTTGGTTTAGCAAACAAGAAACTACCAGGTGTTTAATGAGATACTGTAGGATTTAACTGAGAAGCTAATTTAATTGTTCGGATATGAATTCCAGATTTGGAACTGGAGCTCTGGCAAAAACACCTCCTCAGCAGAGCAACTGCACTGGACAGTTGTGTTGAGAGGATAAATCTTGCTTTACATAGCAAAGAGCAGTAGAGCCTTTTTGAAGGAACGTTCTTAGCCTCTCTGGCCCGAGTGTTGACATGAAGAAATAAACACTAATAAGCAGCAGGTCCTCAGTTCTTTGTGGAACTTCTGCTGACTTAGAAGTCACAAGTTTAAACCTTGTGTACTCATGTAATATTGTTGTTTCCACATCCATTGTTTCATTTTCCTTTGTACTTACATTTCAGAAAGCAAAGCAATGTTTAGCTGTGGTGGAACAAAAACCATTTTCTGGTTGGTTACTATTCCTTCCATCAGAGCCTCTACAACTTCTTCAACCTCCAAAATCTTTCCAAGCCTACACAGGAAAGCAAACACATAAGAGCTGCAGTGGTAAAAAGGGGTGGTACCAGCTGATCTAGGAGGTTTCACAAATGCACAAACACAGATAATTCAAATGCAACAATTACATGGGTTAAAGGACACTGCAGATTTTCTTTAGCCAATGATACACACTGTTGTTATACAGCTACAGTTGGAGTAGAGGCCTAAAGCCAGGGATACTATGCAGTGCCTTGATGCAAAGAAGGAAGTACAGGAATGGAGAGTATTGAGAGTTACCTTGTAGTGGGGTTTTTGACAAATCCAGTGTTTATAAAAACTGGACAAAGACACGTTGTTTTTATTCCATCCTTTCCCAGGGCAGACAGCTCCTCTGTCAGAGCTTTATGAAATCCAACTGCAGCAAACTTGCTTGAGCTGCAGGAGGGGAAAAAGTATAAATGAGAAGGCAGAAATCCTATTTCCACACTTCTACAGCTGCAAATGGTCTAAACAATCATATACATACAGTAAAGGCTAGGATGCAAAAACCTCCAAGTAATGTAATCCAGCTGAGAGACAGGGCAGGGACTATTCTAACTTTGCCTGTGCCAGAGTGTAGTGGTGAATGAGGTAATGAAACTTGTGGAGTAATTGTGCAATGCATAGCAGGTATGTAAATAAAGGCACTTTAGTTGCAAACATAGACAAACATTACCAATTCTTAGAAAATTGCAACTGAAGTGCATCAATTGATGGACATCCTGTTCTTTCACATGAGAGCAGATTCCTAGAAGGAATACAGCCTCAATCTCTAAAATTAAGAAGGATGGGCAGGGTAGAAATGGAGATTAACCCTCTACTGTTTACCACACAAGAGCATCTTGTAACAGTTTTGTGTGACTTTTGAAATAGAGGAGCATTATGTAAGCAGAACTGAGGAACAACCTGCCATGGAAATAGGTGTGGGCCTGAGGATTACATCAACTCCAAAGAAAGGAAAATCACAGAATCAGTTTATTGATTGCTATGGATTTGGCAGTGTAATTCCAGTAAAAGCCCTGGCTGGAAAGGTCTCACACTGCTGACAGTGAATGACTCTAAGAAGGAGTATTCCCAGGAAAAGGTTGCTCTAAGAAGGAGTGTTCCCAGGGGAAGACGCCTGCAGCTGGAGCTGCCTTTATAGAAGGCTGGATGTATGCAGGATGGCAACATACAGTCTAACAAGTTTTTTGTGCCTGCACCATGATTTTCCTGACACATTTCAAGTAGAAATGGAATTTGATGTCATGATGGCAGAAGGTCAGGGGGGAGGTCAGCAGGAAGTATCTCATGGTGGAAGGCTGTTATAAAACACCCAGCCAGGACAAACAGGCAGATGAGGTGTTCTACAAGCAGCTGGTAGAAGTCTCATGGTTTCCAGCCCTTCAACTTGCCAAATGTCTGCTGGTAATACAACACAACAGAGAGGAAGGAACCTAGGAAGTTTCTGGAGTGTTTGGAAGACAACCTCCTAACACAACTGGTAAGAGAGCTTACTGGAGGAGGTGTCCTGGTAGACCTGTTGCTTGTGAACAGAGGACTGGTGGGTGATGTGGTAGCTGGTGGCAGTCTTGGGCAAAGGGACCATGAAATGTCAGAATTTTCAACAGTGGGTGAAGTAAAGAGGGGCATCAGAACTTCCACCTTGGACTTCTAGTAGGCAAACCTTGGCATTGTTTAGAACACTGAACTGTGTTCAGTCCTGAAAGTCCTGAAAGGCAAAGGGGTCCACAAAGGCTGGATACACTTTAAAAAGGAATTGAGAAATATTCAAGAGCAGCCCATCCCTATGTGGTTGAAAGACAAGTGGTCAGGGAAAAAGACCAGCCTGGTTAAGCAGAAAACTTAGGCTGGAACTTTGGGGAAAACAAACAGATGGAGGGTAAATTAACTTGGGAGGACTATAAAGATGTTGTGAAGTCATGTAGGTAGAAGATTAGAAGGACCGAAGTCCAACTAGAGCTTGGCCTCAGAGACAAGAAAGATTTCTATAAATACAGCAAAAGGAGGGTCAAGGAATGTCTCCATCATTTGTTGAATGCAGAAGGTGACAGAGGATGAGGAAAAGGCAGAAGAACTTAATACCTTCTTTGTCTCAGCCTTTAATATTGTCCAGTTGTCCCTCAGGATTCTCAGCTCCCAGAGCTGGAAGTTAGGGACAGAGAGCTGAGGGAAGGGCCCATAATCCAGGAGGAGATGGTAAGTGATCTGCTGTGTCAATCAGACACTCACAAGTCTATGACTTCTGATGGGATCCATGCCAGAGTAATTAGGGAACTTGTTGAAAGAACTTTCCAAACCACTTTCAATGACTACCAGCAGTCCTGGTTAACTGGACAAGTTTCATCTGGCTGGAAATTAGCAAATGTACACCATTTGAACACCCATCTACTAGAAGGGTTGGAAGGATTATCCGGGGAATTACAGGCCTGTAAGCCTAACCTTGGTTCCAGGCAAGGTTAATGGAAGAGATCATCCTGAGTGCCATTACAAGGCACAAGCAGGACAACCAGGGGATGAAGCCAAGCCAACATGGATTTATGAAAGGAAGGCCCTGCTTAACCAACCTGATCTCCTTGTATGACAAAGTGGCCCACCTAGTAGACGGGAAGGCTGTGGCTGTGTCTGCCCAGGGTCTATCTAGACTTCCATAAAGTGTTTGACACCATCTGCCACAGCATCCTCCTAGAAAAACCAGCTGTTGACAGCTTGGGTGGGTGGACTCTTCAATGGGTAAAAATCTGGCTGGATGGCTGGGCCCAGAGAGCTGTGGTGAATGGAGATAAATCCAGCTGGTAGCTGGTCACTAGTGGTGTTCCCCATGGCCCTGCTTTGGGCTGGTCCTTTTAATGTCTTTATGGATGATCTGGACACGGGGATCAAGTGCACCCTCAGTAATTGTGCAGAAAATAATGATTTGAGTGGAAGTGTTGATGTGCTCAAGGGATGGAAGGCTCTGCTGGACAGACTCCATCAGTGGGCTGAGGACACGACTGCAGGAGGCTCAAGAAGATGAAGCGTCAGGTTCTGCACCTGAGCCATGCAGTGATACAGGCTGGGTGACGAAGGGCCTGGGACAGAAAGGGACGTCTGGGGTGCT